AAAAAAAAGTTTCTAGCTCAAAATATTGCTCACCGACAAGAAGCTTCTCGATTGAGGGTATATAAATGCACCGACGGTGCACTACCACTCCTGAACAGCGCTCTGCATAAATCAACGGCGTGCCGTATGCCAAAATTACGCACTGCCTCATCATCATTTTTGATCGGTTCCAAAGCTGAACGGATCCAATCGGGAATAACCAACTGGGACATTTCCGTTATGCGACGAATACTTCCATAACTCTGAAAGCCTTAAAATAATAAACGTATTAAATCAACGTTTGTAAGGATAAACATTCAGCACTGACACAAGTGACTGAGGAAATTCGCACATCCGACCCTCCATATAATCCATTTTAGCCTGTCCTAATTTCTTTCCTCACCCATGGCAACTCCTCAAATTTGAAAATTTCCTTAAAAAACGTCTATGATTTTACAGCGCCACAGCTAATTACAAGCTGCACCGCACCTCACAGCCGTCAGGGCGTGGCAATGTAAACGATAGGGTGGTGATGACTGCTGATGCTCAACCAACAACATGCACATCTTGGAACAGCCAAACTTGGGCCAAGTGCCCATTCAGGAGGCAAAAACAGCGCCAGCAGATTAACCAACCGGCGATAGAGCAGTGACCAAAGCAGCTGAAAAAGTTGCAGTTGCAAATCTGGAAAAGTAGACTGTGCGCTGTCGCAGAACGAATGAATACGAAAAGTCTTACTTCCTTTTTGCTGATTTTTTAAAAGTTCAAAATGAACCTGAATCGGCAGTATCCCTGGGATGATTGGTACGGTAATGCCAATCTCACGACAATCGCGTAGAAATTTCTCGTAAACTTCACTGTCAAAAAACAGCTGTGTGATAATGAAATCCGCGCCAGCTTCAACCTTAGATTTCAAATATAGCAAATCTGCTCGATAACTAGGAGCCTCAGGATGTCCTGTTGGATAACCTAAACATACACAATACGGTCGTTTAAGAAACGGCGAAAGCTACTACATCAACTTTTATCTTTGTTACTCTAAATAACTGACATAAGCCAAAAAGCTGCTAAATCACAGTTTGGATCTTGACTTGTGCAACAAACAACTTTTCCATCTATTACGAGTTTCTACTTTCCACATCCATACAAGACCAAACAGACCGGCCTACTCTAAAACTGGATGCCAAATGGATCTTATTTTCTGCCTCGTTTATGCTGTCCCTTCTATTCGTCAAGGAAAAAGTGCTGAAATTATTCCAATCAGAGTCTGAGTCGGCATCCAACAAGAAATGCTGAAGTACTCGGAGCCATAACACTTTCAGCTCTTTTTTTACTGTCACCTTTTTTCCCGCCACTGACGCAGTTGGCAATTTCTCTATTTCCTCCAAAGCATTCGAGCAGATCCTTTTACTAGACTGGTGACTCGCCTGATGCCCACTCATCACTGCGGGAGTAGTAATCTGCCTTGTCCGCCCACTCGCACTACACGACTATTTCAAAACACTGCCTTGACAACACTGGCCCCACAATCGCAATTAATTTTTGAAAATCATGTTAAAACATACCAGAACATGCGATGGTAAAGTAATCGCCATATTCTTCTTTGATCCATCTAATCATGTCCAATGCACGAAATCTATACAGCACAGGATTCTCGTCCTGTAATTTCCTGACTTATGACAGTAAGGCCGACAACATCTTCAGACCTTCAAATAGTGACACGGGCTGGCGCAGCAATACTAGTGAATCATAAGGCAAGGTGAAAAAAAGGAGCACGGAAAACGAGTGAAAAACCAGAAATACTCGAATCCGCAGCAGAAGGAAGCATTCATCACTGTTCAGGAAGAAGAGCGAACCCAGGCTGGAACGCACCAAGCGAGCCGGTGCGATTATGCGTTTCTGCACTTCTCGTGCCGTACCAAGATCGCAAGGAATCAATGTAGCTAACCCTGTGAAATACTGGCCCTCGAAGTTCGGGAAGTTAA